ACCTGGGAGGGGGTCACTCGTACGAGCGCGTTGTTTCTAAGCCGCGGTGTCGGTGCCCAGTGTCGTGGGAGGTCTGTGTCCCCATCCCAGAAAGCGCCACGTGGCAGTTGCCCTTCCCAGCTTCTTTGCACTTGCTGTATTCGTAAGAACAAAAGAGCTGCGCCCTTTTGTAACCTTACCTACTTCTGATCTTCCCCGGTCCTTTTCCCAGTGGCCCCATGTGGGCTTATATCTTGGCCCACGAGAATGCTGTTCCCCTGTGGAGATCCCTGATGGGACCCACCAAAGTGTTCCGAGCCCGAAACAGCGTCCCAGACTCCATCCGAGGATCTTATGGCCTCACTGACACCAGGAATACCACTCATGGCTCAGGTAGACCTACCCATCTTGGCTGAGTGCTGGGCAAAGACGAGCTCAGGGTGGTGTGAGTGACAGTGTTTTGTCTGCCCTCCATTGGCTTTCCATTCTGAGAGACAGAATGAATGGTTTGCTCATTTCTGCACACTCCACTCACACCTTTCCCGGGGCAGCTGAGCCTGGCGCTTTTCTTCACAGCTTCTGCCCTTCCCTTTGGAGCATAGCACGTGCTTCTGGCGCCAGACTGGCACCCCTCATCTTCTGTTCCACTGTTTTCTAACAGATTCACCAGCGTCAGCCAGCAGAGAGATTGCCTTTTTCTTCCCAGAGTTCAACGAAGAGCTGTGGTACCAGCAGGAGGAGCCACGCCTGCGCTGGGGGCCGGTGCATTACAACGCGGAGGAGCGTGTCCACGCCGTGCCCGGGGCTGGAGGCACGGAGCTGACCCCAGCCCCCCCGGGGTACGGTCTGCCACGCAGGACATAGCCCCCTAAAAGGACACAGGGCCACGGTGTGGTGTCAGGAGTGTGCAGCAGGGAAAGACCCAGCACACGTCACGTGCTGCCTGGGGTTGTGTTATTCGTGCAGCATGCAGGTGCTGGGGCATTTTAGGAATAGCTTCTCAAGCAGAGTGCTCCAGCTTGATGTAGAGGTCGAGGTCTAGCCATGCAGTTCACTGGTCCGCCGTGGGTTTGTCTGGGTGTGAGTGGTTCAGGTGAGTTCATCAGCAGGCAGGGTGGGAAGGGGGGTGCTAGTTAGGAGAGGATGGAGTTTGCTGATAGTAGGCCTCAGATTTTTAATGTTTGCTCTGTTCCCATGGTCCCTTAAGGAGAAAAGAAGAAAAGAACATGAAAAAATGCAGCAGTAAGCAGGGCAATATTGAGTCTCCTGTCCTTGCTTCATGGGCAGGTCTGCTGCCAGCCATGGCTTTTCAGATGTTGCGGAGAGTGGCTTGGCAGCTACATTGGCCAAAATATATAAAGGGGGCTTACAGGAAAGATTGAGACTTTATACCAGGGCCTGAAGTGACAGGACAAGGGGCAACATCGTCAAACCGAAAGAGGGCAGGTTTAGATTAGACATAAAGAAGAAATGTTTGATGTTGAGGGTGGTGAGACTCTGGAACAGGTTTCCCCTTCCCTGGAACCATTCCAGGGGAGGTTGGACGAGGCTTTTAGTAACCTGCTCTAGTTGGGGCTGTCCCTGCCCATAGAAGGGTGTTGGAGTAAGTGATCTTTTAAGGTCCTTTTCAGCCCAAACCAGCGTGTCATACTAAGAAAAGTCATTCCAGCTCTGATCCTGTGCTAGGCGTGGAGGTGGCCGGGCTAGCCCAGGGCCGGGTGTCCCGGAACGCTGCCGCAGGAGTTCTGGCTGCAGGGATCCTCACCTGCTGGCAGGGCCCAGGGTCGCCACTGGCTGGACACAGGACAGAGACTGAAGATGTGCAGTGAGCACAGATCTTACAGATCATCCTCTTGCCTCTTTTCCTCTACAGAATGTTTTCCAGATCATCCTGAGCCTGCAGTCGCAGTGTGTTATCTTGGTGCCACCCATGTAAATCACAGCTCAGTATCACCACATATCTTGTCTCTTCATGAGAAACGTTTTTTGGGGGGAGCTTCAGTCCAATGGGGAATTGCTTTAACAGAGGCTGTTAAAAGTGTCTGAATAAGAATGCGTTTTCCTGGAGGCATGTGCCACAGCACAAATGAAACCTCCAGTGTAGAAAGGTTCCTGCTAGTTGTCACTTTGTACCATGGTTAGTCTCTATTTCTTGTAGGAAGTCTTTTCTTTGCAAAATAGTTCCTAATGTCTTGAGATTTTTATCCTAGGCAAAGGGACCCCTCTGTTCTTTTCTTCAGCTAGAATAGAATGAACCTGTTCTGCACATCTTCTGTTCAGAATTAAAGGAGCTGTCGTGTGCTTTTCTTAGCTGTCTGTTCAGAGGACTGGTGTCTGTAGGCCCTCATATGGGAAGAGAAATTAATTCTGTCAACTTTTTAAGGTTATTTGGCAGTTTTTGTATGTGCTTATGGGCTCCTGTGTTGTGTTTTCAGTAAAACAGTCAAGAGTGGTAAAAAGGCAATGCAACATCAGGAATGATGAAGAAAGGGCCTGAGAACACACTGCAGAGCTTGCACGTATCCCAGCACCACCTGATTCCCTCACTGTGGCAGCAACTGGACATCTGTTTTCACCCCCACCTTCTCCTACCTGGCATCATCTCACTTCAGCACCTAATAACTTGGTTGCTGAGCTATTTACTCTGGATTTTGTAATTTCTCTGTTGTTTACTAACAGGTTTGAAGAATGCATGGACTCCTGAGATGCTGTTCCTTCACAGAAGACACGTGCATATGTCCAGCCCACAAGTTGGTGCAATTTTAGCAGTTTAACTGGTGGTTGGCACTGTACAAAGACTCACTGAGGACATGGTTGTAACCCTCACAATCTTAACTTTGTTTAATACCTTGGTACTTTTGGTACTGAGATGGATTGAATCTCTTTGGCTCACAGTCTTCCCTGAACACTAGTACTTCTACTTTGTCTTTGATTTTATTTGTTGGGTTCATTCTCAGGTACCTTTGTCTTTACTAGGTCCTCATCTTTACAATGTGAAAACAAGAGGCCTGGTATAAGACCAAAGCCATGAATTCTTTGGCATATTACAACTCCATTCTGTTTATCACTGTAAAGTAAGATGCATCTTTCTAAGGCAAGTGGTTTGTGTACTTGGATCGAAAGAGACAAATCTTGTAGTTACTGTAATTGGTGTTTTCCATCTCCAGAGTCCTGGAAAGAGCTGGACACCAGCTACAGGAAATAGGATGGTTCAGATGTGGATAAATAGCAATAGAGCCCCTGAGGTCTGAATGAGCCCCTGAACAGTGTGAATTGTGGCCACACTGGGAGGAAGGAGCGGACTGACCTGCTGCTCATAAAACCATTTAGGTTGGAAAAGACCATTAAGTTTGAGTCCAACCATTAGCCCAGCACTGCCAAGTCACATACCCACATGTTCCCTGTGCACCCTCTGCAGCTGTGCTCTACTGCAGCAACACCCTGGAGCCCTTGCCAGCCAGGATATCCTGACTCTACCACGTGTGCCATGTGCACCTGAGCCACAGAACTGAGGAAACCTGAAGGTTGGAAAGGGCCTCTAGAGATTGCCTGATACAGCAGTCCCGTCTAGCAGACTGCTCAGGACCTTGTTTTATCACCCTTACAGTAAAAGTTCCATTATGTGTCAGTGAAATTGCTAATATTTCAGTTTGTGCCCGTTGCCCTTTGTTCACTGGATGCCTCTCGTGCTTTACTGCCTTTCATCGGGGTTCACACGCAGAGACAAACCCCCTGAGCCCCTCCAGGCACGTGGTCCAGCTCTCGTCCTCTTCTCGCAGGCAGGTGCTTACATACCTTAATCGTGTTCATGCTGGACTCCACTTTTGCTCAGGCTTTCTTGTACTGGGGAGCCCAGAACTGTTCATTGGTGCCCTAGACGTGGTCTCACCAGTGTTGAATAATGGGCAAGACATCTCACTTGATCTGGGAATGCTCTGGGTAATACATCGCAGTCTCAGGCCTGGCACCTGTCTCCAGAGGGACCACAAGGCAGCTGTCCCAGCCTGACAGGGCAAATTGCTGGAAAGACACCAGTCATTGGGAGTATTGATGGGACAGCAGGGAGTGACTAGTGTGGGTGAGTCAGTACCTGCTTCATACTACACAATGATTTACTCTAAACAAGTCAAATGATCAGCACTGGTGTCTGCTGAATTCTGGCTATGAAATCCAGAACGCTCTCTGACTGTAGAGTCTTTCTCAAGGGCTCGTGCTGTGCTCCATCTCTTTGCTCCTACTACATCCTGAGCTCCAGTGTTGCCACAAAGCTAAAGTCCTCCAACAGTAAATCACATTCACTTCTAAAACTAACACATGAATTTTGTGAAAAAAATCTGGCACAGGTTCATGCTATGAGGTGTCTCTCCAGGTCCTCAGATCAGGTGCTGTGGCCCCAGCCAATGGCTTTTGCTGCAGGCCCTCTCATGGTTCCTGCTCCGGATGTGTAGCTGTTGTATTCTTCACATCTTACTTCACAGGGGAAGAACTCAGGGAGGTTTCAGGGCAG